CTCTTGGAATGGGTCCAGAGGAGGGCCACAAAGATGATCAGAGGGCTGGAGCGCCTCTCCTATGAAGAAAGGTTGAGGAAACTGGGATTTTTGAGCTTGGAGAAGAGAAGGCTCCAGGGAGACCTCATTGCTGCCTTCCAGGACTTGAAGGGAGCCTATAAACAGGAGGGGGAGCGACTGTTTACAGGGGTTGATAGTGACAGGACAAGGGGGAATGGTTTTTAGCTGAAAGAGATTTAGATTTAGATTTAGATTGGAGGAAATCTAAATCAGAGGGTGGTGAGGCACTGGCCCAGGTTGCCCAGAGAAGCTGTGGATGCCCCGTCCCTGGAGGGGTCCAGGCTGGAGGGGGCCCTGGGCAGGCTGCTCTAGTGGTTGGCAACCCTGCCCACAGCAGGGGGGTTGAAACTAGATGATCTTTAAGGTCCTTTGCAAACCGGTACATTCTGTGACTCTCTGACCATGGGCAAAACTAATGTTTGAAAGCTGAGCAAAACTTCTGGGCTTGACCAAAATGAAGTGGGGAGGGATGGATCCAACTTTTTCACCTCAAATGCATTTTGCCCTGTTCCAGTCTGGAACAGCTACAGGGGAGAAGCTGTTTTGCAGGACATGTTCTGGAAGATGAGGCTGGAGTTGGCTGGGTGTCTCCTCAAGATTTCTTTTGTCCGTGTTGTGGTTTTACTGACTCTCCCTTGGAGGTCACCAGTTTCACAAACACATCTGGAAGGCTGCATCAGCCTTTTTGTGCCAACAAAACTGCCTATGCTCCCTTGAAAATCTGGCCCTTCTCCATTGCAGCACTCCATGATCTGGAGTCAGTGCGAGGCCTGCAGCGCCAGCAGCATCTTCTGTCCTCCATGACCACTTGTGGCCTCCATGACCACTTGTATCCCTCCTATTCCTCTGTTCCCCTTTGCACTGTTGACCTGTTGGTGTTGCCAGACCTTTTCCCAGTGTCGGCAATGTAATCCTCTTTGGTTTAAGTGTTTTTTTTTTTAAGAACTGGATCATATTGCTGGAAGGGTTCTTCCTTGCAGTTGTGCTGGCAGACCTGAGAAGGCAGTAGCCCTCAGCAGAAGGCAGGGATGAATGACTCCTAAGTGTCCACGTGGCTCTTGCTCCCCAGGCTGCTGGAGCAGTCGAAAAGCAACTCCCAAGCTCAACTTTTTTTTTTTTTTTTCTAATTTGCTCTTTTTACACATTTCTGTGTTTTTTAAGCTGTACTGAGACTGTGATGCATACTTCTGCTGGATGGTGGGGAGGTGAGGTTGGAGGACTAGAAGGTGGGAGGAGAGGTTGCCAGGCTGGGACATCTCTGCACCAAACAGTGCCCCCACACAAACCCATGGTGATTATAATGTGAGGGGCGATGATTCCTGGAGGGAGCTGGGATTTTGTTGCTCACTGTGGGCAGTGCAGTGTGTCTCCCTGCCAGCCAGGAGAGCAATCCCAGGGGATCCCAGCTCCAGGGTTTCCTCCTACATTCGAGCTGCTGTACTTTGGGGGCCCGCTTGGCAAAGCCAGCAGCATCTGACCTTTCTCCACGTGCCCACCAGGGAGCCCTGCTCTTCCAAGGCCACCTGATGCTGAAGTTTCTTGGTTAGAATAGCAAGGAGAGTCCAGGAACCAAACCACCAAACATGCCCTTTGCACTACAGTGCTGCTTTCTCCAAGCTGCTGCTTCAGCCTCCTGCAAACAGGCTGCCTGTTAATGTTTGATTTGCCCAGTCACGTGCAGCCCAGCTGAGCCCGCACAGCAGCAGAAGCAAACCTGGCAGATGATGCTGACTGCACCGGTCCTTGCCGAAGATTGCTCCACACTCACCGAATTCCCTGTTGGTAAACACTGCCCAGGGGGCTGGTACCCTTCCCTCCACCCCAGGATAAGGGGCAGAAATCTGAGGTCTTGAGGAAAATGCAGGCAGGGGTCTGGGGTACACCTCTTTGACCCGTGGAGCTGGTGGCTTCTCTGTGCATTGCCACCTGGAGCAGTATTTGTGCGTGAGGATTCGTACCCTTGTCAGCCAGCTGCAAGGCATCCGTAGGGCTGTTGGGTGCTAGGCAGGGCTGAAGAGCCCCAGTCGGACTGCTTGGCCCTACCCAGCAGCCCTGGGACCCAGCTCAGCCCCCAAGTCTCCTCGCCCTATGTCTGCCCCAAGGCTGGCCCCAGCAGTGACCAAGCCCAGGGCTGTGCAGAACCGGCAGTGGCTGGTGGCCACAGAGCTGTCTCTTAGCAGCACTCACAGATGTTTCCTGTGGGGCAGCACATAAGTAGCAGGGTTTGGCCCACTGCCAGCATGACTCGAAAGGTTCTGGAGGTCACAGGCTACACCAGACCAAGCTGGCTGAGAGCGTAGTGTCTGGAAGGACAGTGCAGGGTAGGAGATGCAGCTGGCCGGCTCATGGGAGTGGAGCCTGACAGGCATGCATGTCTCCTGTCTCCAATGTCTGGGTGCCCAACGCCAGTGCTGGAATCTGCTGCCCCATGGGTCCCAGTCTTCCTCATGAGCTGGGCATCTTCCCATCCCCATCCACCGGCTGCCCAGTGTGGTCAGCAGAAGCCCACACCATCCCAGTGTAGCTCTGTTTGGGGCAGAGGGAGTTGCCGTAGGACTCTGCTGGGTTCAGATCTGCTATCAACTTACTGATGGCCATCCTTAGGCACAGCAGCAAGTCTCTGGTGACAAGGCTTGCTCTCTGGGAGTCACCAGGGTGACACTGGTGCTGCATCAGCGTTGAGGGCTCGGTGTTTTCTCCAGCTCTCAGCAAAAATCAAAGGTCAGGGCCAGGAGGCTCAGCTGGCGGGGACAGGAACGGGAACTCCCAGCCCCTGAAGCAGACTGTGATGTGTCCTGGGTCATCGGGCTCTGCTGAGCCTAGAGGTTTGAAGCCACGGACTGCACAGTATAACACTTTCCCAAGGCATGACCAAGGTAAGTGTGATCTGTGCTGACTCAAACTACCTCACAGACACTTTGGCCTCAGGCAGGGCTGGAGAAGTTCCTTGTCCTCTTTCTTCTCCCACCCGCTGGCTCAGCAGAGCCAGGACAGCTGGCAGAGAGCTGAGGGCTGGCTTTAGGCAGCCACGCTGCTGGATCTGTCCCTCTACTTTGCAAACAGCATGGTAGCAACGTTCTCTGCTGGGGCTGGCAAGCCAAACGGGGGAGCTACGAGTTGCTCTTTCTTCCACTTCATGAGTCCTTGGCCCAGGCACTGCTCTGGGTTGGGATTCAGCTTCCTCCTCCATGTTAAAGCTGTTGACAGCCAGAGCCCACACGGTTGCCTTTTTCTTCAGAGGAGAAGGTTGGTCGACTCTTTTAGAAGTAGTTGGCTTAAAATAAATCACACATCTTCCCTGTCACTGTAGCTGGCCCTGTCAGTGCTCCCTCATTGAGGCTGTGAGAGTGCTCATGCCTTGATGCTGGTCCGTCCCTCTCTGCCAGTGCTTCTGGGCTGGCTAGCCCTGGCTCTGCCACCCGTGCCTTGGGTTTCCTCCCTGCTTTCAGCCGTTGCACAGGGCTGGGCTGGTGTCTCAGCCTGGCAGCACTCAGGCACATCCTTATCAAACCTGATTTTGATGTGGTTTAGTGCCATGGCTGCACCCAACTAGCAAATGCTCTTCGCCCCAGCTGCAGCCGTACAAACCTCCCCATGGCCTGGCCAGATCTCACC